TGGCAGAAATCAAAAAGGCGCGGTTAGTACCGCAATTTGACCTAAGGAGCAAGAAAAATCATGAGTCGTGAAATTTTGATGTTGGTTGATGCGTTAGCGCGTGAAAAAAATGTAAGTGACGACATTGTTTTTGAAGCGATTGAAGGCGCGTTGGCTATGGCGACTAAGAAAAAATATCCTGAAGATGTAGATATTCGGGTTTTGATTGACCGAGGGACCGGGGAATATGATACATTTCGCCGTTGGTTGGTTGTGCCTAATGAGGCAGGATTGCAAGAGCCAGGCAAAGAAATTTTGTTGTTTGAAGCACAAGAGCAAGTGGCTGATGTGGAAGTTGATGACTATATTGAAGAACAGGTTGAATCTGTTGAGATTGGTCGGATTGGCGTTCAAATGGCAAAACAGGTCATCGTACAAAAAATTCGCGATGCGGAACGAGATCAACTCATTAATGATTTTCTAGATCGCGACGAGCTGATTTTTAACGGGACCGTTAAACGGGTTACCAAAACGGATTTTGTGGTGGAGTCAGGGCGCGTGGAGGCGGTTCTCAAGCGGGATCAGATATTGCCGCGTGAAGCATTTCGTGTGGGGGACCGTGTGCGTGCTTATATCGCCAATGTGGATAAAAACTCCAGAATTTCTCTTGAATTGTCAAGAACATCACCGGACTTTTTGATTGCCCTTTTTAATAATGAAGTGCCGGAAATTGATCAGGGATTGTTAGAAATTAAAGCGGCGGCCCGCGACCCAGGGGTTCGTGCCAAAATTGCCGTACACGCTATGGACAAGCGGATTGATCCCATAGGGACTTGTGTCGGAGTGCGCGGCACGCGCATAACCGCCGTGCGTAATGAATTGGGAAATGAGGCCATTGATATTGTGCTGTGGTCAGAAGATCCTGCACAAATGGCCATTCAATCGTTGGCACCTGCGGTCGTGAAGTCCATTGTCGTGGACGAAGACAATCACAGTATGGATGTCGTTGTAGACGATAATGAATTGGCTATTGCAATTGGGCGTGGCGGACAAAATGTGCGTTTGGCTAGTGAGTTAACAGGATGGCAGATTAATATCATTACACCGGAAGAGTCCGAAAAACGTCAAGAAGCTGAAAGTGGCGTGACGCGAGCGTTGTTTGTCGACAAACTGGATATTGACGAAGAAGTCGCAGACATTTTGATTGCGGAAGGGTTTGCGAGTCTTGAAGAGGTTGCCTATGTGCCCATTGAAGAAATGCTCGATATTGAAGAGTTTGACGAAGACATTGTTAATGAGTTGCGTAATCGTGCTCGGAATGCCTTGTTAACGATTGAAATTGCCCGCGAAGAAAATATTGAATCAGTTTCGCAAGATATCAGAGATATTCAGGTATTAACTTCAGCCATGATTGCCGAATTAGCACAAGCTGGGGTGAACACCTTAGATGAATTGGCCGAGTTAGCCGTTGATGAATTACACGCCATAATTCCTGAGTTAAGTGAGAAGGTCTGTGCCGATGTGATTATGCAGGCGCGTGCGCACTGGTTTACTGAAGAGGCGTAAGACGCGGGTCCGTACGATTTTGAATGAGATAGCGATAAGCGAAAACGGGTGATGGTTACCCAAAAAAGTGAGGTATGAATGGCCAGTATTAGTGTTGCAGATTTTGCGGCTGAACTTAAAATGGAATTGAGCACGCTGCTCGATCAGTTGCTTGCGGCTGGCGTGAAAAAGCAAGGTGGGGAAGATTTGTTAACAGATGGTGATAAAGCAGCACTTTTGGATCATTTGCGACGTTCTCATGGGTCTGATGGCGAGAAGAAAAAAATCACCTTAACGCGTAAAAAAACCACGGAAA